GGATCTCTGTGAGTTCGAGGCCAGCCTGGACTACCAAGTGAGTCCCAGGAAAGGCGCAAAGCTACACAGAGAAACCCTGTCTCGGAAAAAAAAAAAAAAAAGAACGAAAGCATCTTTTGGTCCCCTTAAGTTTATCACAGGCCCTGTGACTAAGATGCTTATTTATGTCCCCCATCAAATGCCTTTCTTCCTGCTTCCTATCTCAGTAAACGGTATCATCTCCTTTGCCTCTGTCAGAGTCTTTCTATCTATCTTACTGTAGAGAAATATATTAAACATACTAATATTTAATGTATTCTTAATATATATTTGCTGCTTTTTCCTATTCCCACTTTCCTGACACCCAAGTCCAGCCCATATCTTTCGTTGTCTTGCTATTTCCACCTTCTTTGTGTGTGTGTTTTTCTGTGTTTTTGAGACAGGGTTTCTCTGTGTAGCCCTGGCTGTCCTAAAACTCACTCTGTAGACCAGGCTGGTCTTGAACTCACAGAGATCCCCCTGCCTCTGCCTCCTGAGTGCTGGGATTAAAGGCGTGTGGCACCATGCCTGGCACTGCTTCCACCTTCTTACTGGCTTTTCCACCTCATTCCTCATTCAAACGGAGTTTCTGCGCCACTGTATACCTCCTACCCCCACTTAAGACTTCAAAGCGGTAGCGATAGCTCAGCGGTTAAGAGCACTTGCTGCTATTCTAGCAGAGCAGAGTTCAGTTCCCAACACCCACATCAGGCAGCACAGAGCCGCCTGTAACTCCAGCTCCAAGGATCTGATGCTCTCTTCTGGCTTTGGTGGGCACACATATACCTGTGACTATCCACACACCACAAACATATATATATTAAAAACAAAACAAAAAAAACTTCAAAAATCCTCAGTAGCCTTAGAATAAAACCCAGACTCCCACAACATGGCTCACAAGGAGGCCTTTCACTCTGGGGCTGTACACAGCTGTCCGACCCACCCACCATCTCTCTCTACCTGCCAGCTTCCCACATCTCCACCTGACCAACTCAGCCAACACCTTTCCAGAGCTGCCTCAGTCTGCAGCCAGGCTTTCCTCAGGCTGATCCACTAAACTCTCTCTTACTCCTTTCACCGAGATAACCTTTCAGAAGCATCAGAAGCTAATTTAGCATGCCCTTCAAATTTCCGCCATTCGAAGCCTCTAAACTGTGAAGCCATTTAAGGCACTCCTGGGACAACTTGAAAACTTTTCTAGAGGATTCAAGATCACATAACAGATTCTTTTGGAAGAAAAAACAACAACACTCAACACAAAAAGCAAGAGGCCGGTGCTGGAGGGATGGCTCAGAAGTTAGGAGCACTTGTTGCTCTTGCAGAGGACCCAGGTTCTATTTCCAATGCCCACTATCATACAAAAGTACTTTTAAATGCTTGCTGAATACACAAATGGCTAAATTCAGTTATATATTCCCATTTTCCTTCCAAACATTTCTCATAAAGTTTGATGAGAAAAACTTGGGCTGGTCAGCACTTGCCACCAAACTTGGCAACCTAAATTTAATCCCTGAAATCCACGTGGTAAAATGAGAAAAATCAACTCTCAGAAGTTATCCTCTGACATCCACACATGTATGGCATGCATGCCCATACATATACACACATACTTGGAGAGACAGAGTCAAATAAAAACATGTGCAATATTTTTTTTTAAAAAGCCAGGTGTGATAGAGCACACCTTTAATCCCAATACTCGGGAGGCAGGGGCATGTAAATCTGAGTTCAGTCAGACCAGCCAAGGCTAGTCTTGATCTTGTCTTGAAAAAAAAAAAAAAAGAAAGAAAAGAAAAAGCCAGGAGGTGGTGTGGTATGCCTTTGATCCCAGCACATAGAAGGCATATTCCTTGGGAATATGCCCAAGAGTAGTATAGCTGGGTCTTGAGGGAGATTGATTCCCAATTTTCTGAGAAACTGCCATACTGATTTCTAAAGTGGCTGTACAAATTTGCACTCCCACCAACAGTGGAGGAGTGTTCCCCTAGCTCTACATACCAGCACTCAGGAGGCAGAGGCAGGCAGATCTCTGTGAGTTCGAGGCCAGCCTGGTTTACAGAGCTAGTTCCAGGACAGTTAAGGCTACACAGAGAAACCCAGTCTAGAAAAAAACAAAAGAAGAAAGTTGTGCAAAACAATGCAAGACCCTGTCGTGGTGAGAAGTTGATTACTAGAAGAAACAATAAAAGCTATGGGACTCTAGTACTTTCTAAGCCATGAAAAACCACGTTTGATGGCAGGCACCTGTAATCCAGCATCCAGGAGGTAGAGGAAGGAGGATTAAAAGTTTATAGCTGGGGCTAGACCACTGGCTATTCTTCCAGAGGACCAGAGTTCAAGTCCCAGCACCCACATTAGGCAGGTCATAGATGTCTATAACTCCTATTCTAGGGGATCTGATACCCTCTTCTGGCCTCTGCAGGCACCAGGTACACACATGATGCACAGACATACATGCCAGCAAAACACCCATACATATATAAATAAATAAGCGGTTTTTGGTTTGGTTTTTTGCTTGTTTGTTTGTTTGTTTGGCTTTTCAAGACAGGGTTTCTCTGTGAAACAGTCCTGGCTGTCCTAAAACTCACTCTATAGACCACATTGGCCTCAAACTCACAGAGATCTGCCTGCCTCTGCCTCCTGAATGCTGGTATGTAGAGCTAGGGGAACACTCCTCCACTGTTGGTGGGAGTGCAAATTTGTACAGCCACTTTAGAAATCAGTATGGCAGTTTCTCAGAAAATTGGGAATCAATCTCCCTCAAGACCCAGCTATACTACTCTTGGGCATAT